CCATCACGATACGCTTTTTGATTTCCTGACTGCTGGTGCCAAGAGTGTTGACTGTGGAGCCAAGCAAACTGAAGCTGTGAATAATCTCAATCTCTTCGCCATCCATCCTGACGCTGCCAATTGGTCCAGTGGTGAGAATCTTCTTAGAAAACATAATCATGAACAGATAACCCACTCTCCCTGTCCTAGGGGGCTCTTGCCAGATAAACTTTCATCTTGAAGGCCAGTTGCTCTTGCCTTATTTATTTGCATAATACCTCTTTCCTAGGATACCTCCACCCTTCACTCCTAAAATAACTTCATTGCTGTGGAGTAGAAACCAACTCAGTGTCACCTCACAATTTAACAAATGAAACAAGTTAAAATTTTGTTCATTTTCCTATGGATATTACAGATAATCTAAGGGTTTTGCCTGTATCACAGGCTATCAATAATGAATTTCTTTAATGAATCAGATATTTCCAGAGGGTGATATTAGGCAATATTTCCTAACATAAAAGCCTCTGATTAAAGCTTAAAATCTTACTGTGAATCTTTGGGATTTAACTTGAGAGAGCACAAAAACTCTGTTCTGAATTATAAGCCATCTTCAATTCAGATAGATCTTCAATTCATATAAATATATACATGTTGTTGTTAAGTACCTTGGAGTAGAGTACAACTCACAGTGACCCTATGAACAATATACCTGAATCCTATCCTATGCCATCCTTATTTGATTCCATTGCTGCAGTCACTATCAATCTATACACATTTTTTCTTAGTTTTGTTATTTTTATTTTCTGTATGCATGTTGTTATGCACCATCAAATTAAAACTGACCCTCTGGTGGGTTTTCAGAGTCAGTACAATTTCAGGGAAGGAGCTTGCCCATCTTCCTCCCATAAAGCAGCTGGTGAATTCAAACTGTGTTAGCAGTTTGAGTTAGCAGCACAGCTCCTTAGCACTGTCTTTATTCATTAGGTGGTGTCAAATATGACTCGTAGTGACCTTATGAACAACAGATCTAAATCTTGTCCTATCCTGTGCCATCCTCACAATCTCTCTGACACACTCAAACCACTTGAGGCAGTCACTATGTCAATTCACCTGGTAGAGGGTGTCTCTCTCCTTTGCCATCCCCACATGTTCCAAACAAGGAGTCCCTCTACAAGGAATAGCACGTCCTAGCAACATGCCCAAAATATAAGCTAAATCATCTTTGCCTCCAAGAAGCACTCTGGCTGCACCTTCTCCAAGATACATATTTGATCTAGTTTCTTCAAGGAATATTTAGCACCCTTCCAACACAATTTGGAAGCATCAAGTATGTCGTTTTTATACATTGTCCAGTCATTACCACTAGACATGTAAAATTTTGTCAAAATATTCACCTAATTTAAAAGAACTGTTTTATGTAGTAAGGAGCCCTGGTAACACAGTGGTTCTCATTTGTCAACTAAAAGGTGGGCCACTCTGTAGGAGAACGCTGTGGAGCAATTCTAATGCACTCTATGTTGTTTGTTGTTATGTGCTCTAATAGGTAGTCATAAATCGTAACAGACTCCACCGCGATGGGTTAGGTTTTCTTTTTATTTCGAATGAACAGACCTAAGTCTTTCATACTTTTTTTACCCACTTCTTGGGCAGTATTTATGGTTTTTTTATATGGGACTTGTCAAAACCTCTGTGATGAAAACTCTTACGGAAGTTAAAACTATCCCACCACTAGTGCCAGCCTTCATAGCCCTAACTGATAAGGACAGTCAGATTTATGAACTGATGAGAAAACCTAGCTCATTTCTTAATAAACCATTGGGACATTATTTCTTCTCTGTATTGTTCTTTTTCCTTATTTTCTATCTTCTTGTGTTTCCCACATTCTAATACATAGCTTTTAAGCGAGTAAGGCTTTCTTGAACTCTCACGAGGAATCTTCGGAGGTCAACGAGTGGTGACCACCCTGACAGTTTCTAGAGCCGCGAGAAAACACCTGTGACTCACTGGAGACACGTGCTCAATGACGCCACCGTCGTAATGTGCCCCACTGGAAGTGGCCACGCCTCCGCGGCAAAGAAGGGGCGGGCCAAGGGAATGGGCTTGTCGGAGCGCAGCGGACGGGAGTCGGCGAGTTGAAGAGCCGAGATGTAAAGAGATAGGACGATGAGAGCCGCGGGGCGGGCTTTCCCGGAGCTTCCTACATCTTTTACTTCCTGTTTTCCAGGTATTCTAAATCCGGGTCAAGGGTGTTCGCCCATCTCTCGGCTACCCGGCTGCTCTTCTTGGCAGTCTCCCGGACTGGCACTCCAAACTTAGCTGAGCACCGGATATTACTCACGACCTGCTGGAGCCTGGACGCCCACACCTGCCCCGAGACGAGGAGGTACGCCTCCTCACCTTCCGACTTGAACCTTCCAGCCTTGCGAACTCACTGCCTCCAGGTGACCCCACCCGGCCCTCCCCACTAAATGTTGACAGGTACCGCGGGGCCAAGGAGGCGGCTCCTTAGACCGGCAAAAGGTAGTACTAGTTCGTAGGCGCCCCTTGCCTTCCAGCTCGTGCCTGGGACTGGATGGACATTCCTACCCGATAAATGTGGCTAGTGAGGCGGCAGTGGCGGTGGCCAGTCCCGCTGTTTCGTTTCAAGTTCCCCTCCGTCCGGAGGCTCTCCTGTCGGTCCTCCAGGCTGTCACCACCTTCTCCTTACCCCCTGGCCCTCGCCTTGCCGCGTAGCCACAATGGACAAGATCCTGGAGGGGCTGGTGAGTTCTTCGCACCCGCTGCCCCTAAAGCGCGTGATTATTCGGAAGGTGGTGGAGTCGGCGGAACACGGGCTAGATGAGGCACAGTGCGAGGCCATGTTTGATCTGACCACCCGGCTCATCTTGGAAGGCGAGGATCCTTTCCAGCGGCAGGTGGGGCACCAAGTGTTGGAGGCTTACGCACGCTATCACCGACCAGAGTTCGAGTCCTTCTTCAACAAGACCTTTGTACTGGGCCTTCTTCAGCAGGGTTACCACTCTCTGGACAGGAAGGACGTAGCCATCCTGGACTACATTCACAATGGCCTGAAGCTGATCATAAGCTGCCCGTCGGTGCTGGATCTCTTCAGCTTGCTGCAGGTAGAGGTATTACGGATGGTATGCGAGAGGCCAGAGCCGCAGCTGTGTGCCCGCCTGAGTGACCTCCTGACCGATTTTGTGCAGTGTATTCCCAAGGGGAAATTGTCGATCACCTTCTGCCAGCAGTTGGTTCGGACCATCGGCCACTTCCAGTGTGTGTCCACTCACGAGAAAGAGCTGCGGGAATATGTCTCCCAGGTGACAAAAGTGAGTAACTTGCTGCAGAACATCTGGAAGGCTGAGCCTGCAACATTGTTGCCTTCTCTGCAAGAAGTTTTTGCAAGCATCTCCTCCACAGGTGAGGTGCTGGTGTTTAAAGAGACTATCATTTGAAAACTCAGTATGTTTCACACGTGTGCGGTGATTGCTTTTCTGGCTAGGAAAATATTTATCCTAATACTCCTTGTCCAAAATGTTACCCATCCCATGTAGGCTTTTGGAAGAAAGATGGGCAATCTTTCCTCAACCTTTTTGCAACCTTGGAAACCCACTGGAGAGCCAGCTATGTGTACATTCTGACTTGAGTTGGTGTTTTTAGTACATATACTACTTTCTCTACCTTAAAAACAGGGAGTGTCCTTTTTTTGGCTTGAGAAAGGGTAGGTCCAAGATCTTTGATGATAAACAAGTTTAATTAGCCAACCTCCATGAAGCATTCTATGATGATGACAGATGCTATATAAAGCTGCTATATATTAGTGACTAATGGTAGCATAATAGTTACCATGTTATTATTGTGTGTGACCCTATCATTTTGCAGAGTTTTTCTCCTTTTTGAATTCCTTAATCCCACTCCAACCCCATTTTTTTCCATTCATACTATTACATTTGCTTTATTACTAGGTTATCACAATTAATTATGCAGTACATTGGTATTTTCTGCTACAGTAGTGTGTGCGAAAGGGGATACAGGTAAAATGAAAGAAAGGAAGACAGGAAAAGGTTTTGTGGGTGTTACGAATTGCATCCTCACAAGGCAGAGAAGCAAATGATACTTGGAAAGAAAATACTTTCCAACTTAGAAATGTTACCTGTGAGTATGAATTCCTTATTCTGCCTTAGAACTTCCAAGTATATAAGTTGAGAGATACAGAGCCAAAACCGTAGATTCTTTGTTTATTTCACCTTCTGTTTATCGAAACCAGAAATGTGGTGAAGTTTTAACCAGGCTTGCAATCTCATGAATTAGATAACATTCCTAAATTAATTACCAGCAATATACATGAAATCTCTACATTGGGTTTTGGTTGTGTTATCTACGTTGTGGCTATTAGCTTTCCATAGACTCTTTTTAACATTAGCAGTAAAATTCTTGGCTTTTGATTATATATAGTTTTATATGGTTTAAATAAATGTGCCCCTAAGAAATATTCCCCTATCATTTCTGTACATTCTTCATGTAAATTGTCTATCCATGAGACATAGTATAAGTGTCACTTTCTAAGTTGCTAATACTTTTGCTGCAGTTTTTAAAAAAAATATATGTCAATATGTGAACCTTTTTTATTTGAAATACAGATGCATCATATGAACCTTCTGTAACATTGGCAAGCCTTGTACAGCATATTCCTCTGCAGATGATTACAGTTCTCATCAGGAGCCTTACTACAGATCCAAATGTCAAAGATGCAAGTATGACCCAAGCTCTTTGCAGGTATTTCTAAATGACATTATGAGTGGTGATTGTAGATTTGAGAGGAGAAGACATTTTTGGTTATATTTTGTGAGTATTGAAAGACGTAAAGAAATAATTAAAATTAAAATGAAACTTTATTTTCTGTCTGTTGTACACAGGGTGGTTCTTAGTTGGAATTTCAAGGACACAACAGCAATTTCCCTGATAAGGCATCTTGACTCATTTACAAATCCATTTCCAATTATATATACTTATTGTATAGCCAGGAATAGCTTGGATTTTGAGCATACTTATCATTGTTGTTGTTACGTGCCCTCAAGTCATTTGTGACTCATAGCGACCCTATGTACAACAGCCCTAAACCCTGCTCTATCCTGTGCCAATCGCATGGCCTCTGACACACCCATCCTGATTACCCCAGTCACTGAATCAATCCACCTCATAGAGGGCCTTCCCCTCCTGCGCTGTCCCTCCACCTTACCAAGCATGATGTCCCTCTCCGAGGACCTGTCTCTCCTTACCACATGTCCAAAGTATGTCAGGCGAAGCCCCAGAATCCTTGCCTCCAAGGAGTACACTTATCATTAACACACATATTTTTTTCTTTGCTCATTTTAACCCATTTCTTCCTTCTGGGTTCTTTTTGCTTCCTTGTTGAGTACATACTATTTCTACAAGAGTATATGGGCACTCTATTCTTAGCCTTTGCTTTTTGAAATCTCTCCCACTCCCCCCATAATCTTAAGCAAATAATTTAAATAAGATACAAAATTTTTATTTTATAGTAATTTTCTTTTAGCAATTTGGAAATACTACTCATTTTCTTTTGATATCTGTGATTGCTGTAAGTTGGCTACCAGTCTGATTCTTACTCTGTTGTAGGTAGTTTCCCTGGTAGCTTTTATAGATTTCTCTTTAACTTTGATGTTTTACAGTTTCATTCCCACATTTCTAAGAATAAGCTCATAATTTCCAAGGCAGTGTTGAAAACATCTTTGAACAAAACAAATATATCTACCTTTATGGGCTTATTTTCTAGTGAGGAGACATAGATGAGAAATTTCATACATTTCATTATTTAAAAATGAGTTCTGACTCCAAAGGTGTTAAATTCTAGACATGTAGTAGTCATTTTTGTAGATTCATTATAGTAGTTTATAGAAAGAAACTAACAATGCTTCTTAAATTTGATTCTGTTCCTTGTTTATAATTACGTGTTTGTTGAAAGAAAAATAGAGATACCTAGAGTGGGACAGTGGTTTGTAATTTTAAATAAGGTTATCGAGGAATGCTTTACTGAGAAATTGACTGTAAAGACAAAAAACCTATGTTGCTTTCTGAGGGGAAGAATATCAATACTATCTTAGAGTTCACCAGTTTTCTCTTCAAATGTGCACATTTTGAGCTTATACAATGAGATTTGTTGTTGTTTATATCAGAGAATATAAAAAAAAACCCACTTCATGACCATGGAGTCCTAACCATCCAGCAGACTCTCTAGCAGGCCTTCCAGCAGGTTCCCAAGGCTGCTACACAAGGGAAAGAGTCCATCTTTCTCCCACAGAGCCACTGGTAGTGAATTCAAACTACTAGAGAGATTAACAGGGTTGGGTTGTCCTCAGTTAACAGGGCAACTCCTTATGTACTATGCCTTGAGGATCTTTACTTTTTTCCCTTGTTGTTTTGTGCCTTGAGCTGCCTGCGACTCATTGCGACCCTATGTTCAACATGAATCCCAACATACCTACCCTCATGGCCCTAGTCACTGTATCAGTCCATCTCATCCAGGATCTTCCTCTCCTGCGCTGACCCTCCACATTTCTAAGCATGATGTCCTTTTCTGAGGATCTGTCCCTCCTGGCCACATGCCTAAAGTACAAGAGACGGAGCTTCAAAATCCTAGCCTTGCAGGAGAAACTTGGCGTCACTTTCTTGGAAAGTGAAATAGGTCTCCAAGACCTATTGTTCAAGACTCCTCTCCAGCACCACAACTCAAAGGCATCAATCCTTCTATCATCCTTAGTAATTATCCAGCTGTCTGATGCATAGGAAGCAATTATAAAGACCATGGACTGGATTCAGGCACACTTTTTTTCCTTATTTTGTGCAAATGTTTAAAAAGCCTGTTGGAATCTTCCAGTTAGCCTGTGGGAGAAAGATGGGCAATCTCCTCTCATCCAGTTTACATCTTCTGAGAACTTGCTTGAGAATTAGTATGAGTTGTTTCTAACTTCATAGCAATGACTGACTTTTAATCATCTACCTTTTCTACTTTTCATTTTGCTACTAAACATAAATCAATTTATAACTTGAAATTCTAATTTTTTATTGTTCCTTTTTAAATTCTGAGATTTATGGAAATGGTTTGTATCTTGGAGAAATGGCTGTATAAATGGATTTATTCTTGTGTGTGATATCCTGTTACTGTCTGATTTGTGGTGACCTTTTTGTCACATTTGGTGACATTAATTTCATTTTTCAAATTTATATCCTTATATTTACTATTCTAGAAATTCTAGAACTCCTATGACTCTGTGCTATTAGGATTTTCTTCCTGATTACTTTCTCTTGATATTCCCATTTCCCTTTACTCTTACTGCTTTACCAGTTCTAATTTTTATGTGTTTAACTTAGCGCTGTTACTCATCTTTTCATACTACTACTACTTCTATGCCCTGCTTAGCAACAAACTAAAAAACTCAAATTTATTTTTGTGGATTTGAAAACTATTCATACCTAACTCTCCAGCAGGTTTTCAAAAGCTGTAAATCTCTGAAAGAGGAGATTGCCTATATTTCTCCCTTGAGGCTGCTAGAACGCCATCTTTAGGTTAGTAGCATGACACCCTACATACTAGGCTACTCGGGTTCTCAAAGCAACAGCACTCACTTGTTGGTATTACAGTGATAATGCTTAACTCTTTGTTTTTGAGGTGAATATTTTGAAAGTTTCATAGTGAAATAGGAAGTTGTAGAAAATTATAGGTAATGTCATTGAAAATGAAATGATAGAGGTAATGATAGCTAACCTTTTCCTTCTCATACCATAAGTCACTTTATACTTAGTAAAACCCATTTTATAGTTGAGAAAGCTGAGTGATTAAATAATTTTTCCTAGGTCATGTTATCCAGGTTGCAAATGGTGGATCTGGGGATTCAAACCCAAGTCTGTTTCCAGGCTACCTAAATATTGCATTTACCAATGAATAAACAACTCAGTCACTCTGCTAGAGATGAAAGTAGACCATATTGTTATGGCCCAATTTTTGTTCTTACTCAATCTCTGACATATCAGAGCACAAATAGATATAATTATTCATTCCATTTGATTAACATTAGTAATAAAGTAAAGCCTTTGGATTCTTTCTTTAAGACATTTCTTAGACTGGCCCTTTCATTATTTCATCACCATGAGTTTAGGTTTTTAGTATTTGGCAGTATTTCCTGATCAGTCTTCTTGTTTGCAATCACTTATCTCTTTTATTTTTACTATTCCTCTATCCTGTACTTTCCCATACACTCTGTTCCCCCCAATCTAAAATGCGTTTGTTGGTTGCCTATACTGTCTCCATACAAGAAAGCTGCAAATCCTAATACTGTAGTACAAGCCAGTCAAGTAACATTAGTAAATGAAATAAGGCCAGGTGTCAGTGAAATTGGGAACAAGAATGATAGAGAATGTATAAAACCACCTTCTAAAGGAGAAAGTTTATACTCTTTTGTGTCTATTGCCACAGGAAAATTTGATCCTACTTTTGTTTGATCCGATTTTTCTAAAGCTGTAATCTAGTTTTCTACTTGAAATTTCTCACTGTACCCTATTCTCAGAATAGGCAGAGGCCAGGTTGTAACGTGAAAAAATTAGGGTTATTGGAATGTAAAGGTTAACTGCCAAATCACATCTTTATATAACTTAACAAGCTACTAAGAATTGTGGCCCAGCCAAGGTGATATAAAACCATAACGATCACAGCCAGTGTTGCTCTCACTTCTCACCTAGTCATTTGTCACTGCCAAATATGAGGCCAAAAGTCATATTTTTACTATTTACCTAAATGCAAAATGTTAGATAAGAGAATAGTTGGTAAGTAAGGAGAGGGTATAGTTCAAACATTGGAACAAATAAAACTTAGGCTGGCTCAACCTTGAATCTGCTATCTAAACATGGAAATTGTGGGGTTTTTTCTCTGAAAATTAAGATTTAATCTACTTTATGGCCTTTTGGGGTATTACCAGTTATAATGTTAAGGATTTAAAGTTATGTGTAGGCTTTTTTTTTAACCACAGAAAAAAACTATTTACTCAACAGATTTGAGTGTCTGCTCAATACTCCTTGTTTTATACTGACAAAAACTGGCTATGACTCACAGAGATACTATAAGGCAGAATAGGATGATCTCATAAGGTTTCCAACACTGTAATCCTTTCAAAGGGGATTAGGTGCATGTGTGTTCCACAGAACTGCTAGGGAATTCAAACCACCAAGCTTTCAGTACTAACCATTACTTAACCACTGTACCACTGAGGCTTCTCTTTAGATTCTTTGGTAAGTACTGAGGATTCAAATAAAAAAACTAAAATCACTGCTTTTGAACTCAGTCTAGTGAAGTACATATGATTTTAAAATAGATCGTTACACTGTAATGAAATGGTCCTTAGATATTTTGAATTGGTACTTCAGATTAAGTAAATTTTACTTAGAATTCAAGTTAATAAAAATCAATACATGAAATATAGTACTTTATATTATTGTATTAATTGTGGAAATAAATCTACCTGGCAAACCTGTTGATGAATGATTTAGGCATATTCAAACCAGTGAAACTGAAGTGAAAGAACCAATACATAAATCAAGTGTACCAAAACACATTATACTGCATGCTATTCTGTCAGACCTTAAAATAAAAGTACCACAGTCTATTAATAATGTGAATTTTGACCAATCTCTACATTTTCTTGCCAGTGTGAAGCAGAAAACTTCCCTTACTAGCCTCTATGTTCTCAGCAATAGTAAAAAAC